GACTGGTTAGAATCCCTCTTCTCAGCTTTGTGGAGACACCTACTGCCACTGAAGGGCAATTTTTAGAAACCTGTGCTGGATTATACAGCTTTATAGTGGATCTAGAAATAGGGAATCCCCAAAAGATAGCCAATTCAAGTGTCCCACCAAAAGAGAAGACTGTGACGATTGCAGGCAATTTTCTACATTTTAGCGTCTCTAACAGTTGAGAAAAAGATTTTTAAATATTTTTTCTTTATTCCACAATAATATTTATGTGGTATTCCACAGTTCTCAGAGAAGTAAGATTAAAGACAAATTATTTTTCTCCATGAATGTAACCAGTAAGCAGCAGGTGACATTTTATAAAAGAAAACAAACTAAAGCAGGACATGGACTGGATTTTCCTCTGTCTCACACCAGGGAGTGTGAAGTGAGACCTCAAGAAACCTCATGCTATTTCTTAATTCCCTAAGCTCTAGCCCCTTCAAGAAAGAGAAAAGATCACTTGAAAAAATCACATTTTTAACATGTACATATAATCTATTAAAATTCATTCAAAAATCCACGTTAGGATATTCTCCCAAAGATACTGCATAGCAACACCTATCCTTCATAACGAGAACTGTCAGGAATGGCCAATATCATCAACACTGTTGACTGAGGCTTAAGCTGAATCTCAGAAGTCATGTTAGACAAAGAATAAAAAGGATGACTTGAACCTGTGCACATAATTTTAACATGATTCATTTCCATGTCAGTCTTATTTGATTTGTTACATGAAAAATCACTGATTTGGTCTTCATGAAGGTAAGCGTTCTTCAAGTAATGCCTCTCTCAGACTGGAGCTGAAAGAACTTCTATGAGATCAACACAGGTCAAAGAGAACACAGCATGTAGATATTTAAACTTCCTAAATTTTAGGAATGCTTCAAATTCAGTTCAGCGCAAGTAGCTTCCTGAGACTCCCTATTTAATTTAATTTAATTTAATTTATCCAATTCAAACAACTCTGACAAAATATTCAGTCCTGAGACTGGTTTCTCTGAGAACAGAGGCATACAAGGTGTACATGTGAAGACCTGAATATCTACAGGAGCAATGAGCTTGACACCTGGAGGTTCTTGAAGGGTTTTAGAGCTGAAATTAAATCATATTCATGATCGCTGGTCAAATGATGGCAGTGATCACTGGAGACAGGTTATGTTTTAGCTAAACAACCTCAATTTAAACACCTAGAGTGTCTTCACTAACACAGCTCAGAATTTACAGCCAGCCCCTCCTCAGCACCAAGACCACACTTTCCAATTTGAACTAAAAAATGACAAGACCTACTACTGCTTTATCATGAAAATTCTGTTATATTTTAAAGAATGAGAAGAAAAAAGGATCCTACACCGCCCCTCCCCCCATAATCCGGGCCTTTCTCCTCAAGGGAAAAGGCTATGAGCAGAAGAGTTTCATTTCTATCACGCAAAATGAAAATATATTCTTGTCAGTAATGTGCCCATCCACTCTAACTCCTCCACATAAATTTCTTTCTCCCTCCTGTAAAAAGGAGCACTGGCAAACATTTTGCTAGAAAAAAATTATTTTTGCCTATGCAAAGGCATCATATTCTGCTTGTAATAAAATCTTAACACGACTTACGTAACTTGTTCAGCCCCCACACAATCTCCATTAAGAATGTCTGTTGTGTATTCAAGCAGCTTATGTGACATTGTTTGTAAATAAGGGCCTATGTACCAAGGGATATTACTTAACAGTTACTAAAATCATATGTGATAATGTGAGTTTTGTATTAACTACTGTGTTTGTATAATAAATAAGTGTAGTAAGGCAAAGGTCATGAAGAAAAATAAAAAATAAATTCTCCTACTTGCTTGTCATGCAATGAAACGTATTATATGTCTCTGAGTCAATCATTTAGATAACAAATATCCAGTGAACAGTTAATTACTAGATCTATATCCTAATTAAGATGATTCTTAACACATTAGGTCTCCAGCCATTGGTCCATGTGGTTTAAATAACATCACATAGTCTAAATAGGTAGGTCCAAAATACAACTCTGAAATAAAAATGCTGGACACACGTGGCTGAGGTCCCGTCCACCCTGTGTTAGAGCACACACGTTACTGCATCCTCTGAATGAGCGTCACAGCACAGCGGAAACTCAAAGCCGGCCCCAGGGAAAACAGATAGGCAATCGGTGACCACACTGTCCTTCCTGTTCCCTTTTCTACCCTTGACACCCAGCATGTCACTATTTGGGGTAATCATGGGCTACCATGATTCAAACCTTTCTTGTCCCTTGTCCTCCCTTACCCAGCAAAATGTACCTGTCCGTGGCCTGGCTTCTCCAGCCCACCTGGCTGAAGCTGGCGAGACAGCACCTCTACTGTAAACCATCGATGGCCTCCACTGCCTTTGCTCATTCAACAGCCTTTCCTGAGCATGTACTAGGTACCAAGTATTATTACAAGTGCTAGGGATGAAGCGATGAACAAAACAATTAGAACCCACCCCTAAATGAGCGCAAAGTTGAGTATAACCAAGGGTGGTAAATGCTAAGGAGAATAATAACACATGAGAAGGCTAAGAAGCTCAGGAGAGGATGGTGCGAGGGACTCACCATGGTTAGTGTCTCAGCTCAGACTCTGCAAATGTCTGTATCTGAACACGTTTAAAGCACTTAAACATACTGCCACCAAATTACCTTAAAATATAGAAACAAAAGCCTTTCAGTAGGAGGTAGACACTTAATTAACATATAATTTTAAATCTATAAACTCAAAGTTTTCTATCCTACTCTAAATAAATGAAATCCCACTGGTATAAAAGGTAATTAAGCTATTTTAGAAAACCACAGAAATATATTATTTTCTGAAATGAGACTCTGTCCATCAAAACAAAGTAATAAGAAAGTAGCTAAAAACATAACTTTATTTGCTGAGTAGAAGCATGGCACTTTTTAAGACTCTCAATATAGGTATAGGACAAATCCAAGTCATTACTGTAAGAGGAAAAAGGTTAAACACAAAGCATATGTACTGTGAGTACTGAGAAAAGGAGAGGTGCAGGCAGGGTCAGTGACAACATGCCACTCCAAACCAAACAGCGTCCCTTTTTATTAATGCGCAAGATGTGGACTTTGAATGACAGAAGCAAAACACAAATGAAAACACCTAATTTTTATGTATAGTATATGTAAACATACACATTACATGGATTTAATAATCCTAATCTAAATATGAGAACAATTGGTTCTCTAACCTCAAAATAAATTCAGTGTTGACATTACTGTTACTAACTTACAAGGTTTTGCATTTAACAGGAAGAATTATGAACACCCAAGTTCAGTGTAGTCATGGATTTCATGGTAAGATATAAATAGAGTTTTTAAGAAATAAACTATATAATAAAATAAGTTTACTTTTGAATCACAGTTCAGTCACTTTCTTCAATCAAAAATATTCCTTGATTATAAAGCAGCCTTACTTTGCAAATGTATTTCAGGAAAATAGCTCTAGCAATATTTGAAATTTCATACTTTTTTTAAAAAGGCAGCAAAGCAACAGACTTTAGATTTTAAACAGTATATTGCAAAATAGTTCAACGTATTCTTTCTAAAGCACAAAGCAAGCTCCATTTTGAAGGATGCTTTTTATCTTATAAAGCAAACTGTTCTGATATTTCTGTGGAAGTTTAGAGTCTGAATATATATGATAAAAGATAAATCTTTGTACATATAGGACAAACTTCAATACATATCCACAACACAAATGTTTTGCATTATTACATCACTCTATTATGAAGCTTAGTTTGTTAACATGTACTCAAAAGGAAAATAAAAACATGATACAGTTCTGCAGCTTTATAACAGGCTGAATTCTGCAACAATCGAAAACATGAAACCAGCAGCAACAGCAAAGGCAACACCAATCTTATGAATAATAAAACAAAACATCAAAAACCATAACCATTTAAATGAATAGCTACTACATTCTTCTTAACATATCTTAATTTGCTCTATTGTCTTAAATATACTTTTTTTTTTAAATATTTTTCATCCCCAGAGGAAACGATGGCAAATTCTCCACAAAGAGGAAAGTGCATCATGTTTTATTTTCAAAGTGCTTCACATGTGTGTGTTTTATAGATATGTCTAATAGGGAAGTTAAATATGTGCAAATAGTTCCAATTGTGACTTGAATTCATGAACCTCATTATGGGATTTTTAAGTTCCTCCAGATGAGGCAGTCACCAACACAGAAGAAAGATCTGAGATGACGCAGCAGAAAGAGCCCAGGCCACAGATGAGGAGACCTACATCCTAGCTGGAGGGTCTAACCAGCTAGCTCATGACCCAGGTGAGGAAGAGCAGCTTCAGAACCCCGCAGCAGGAGAGGTTAAGCTCCAGAGCCCCTGGGGCCCATCCACCCCCACAGCTCTAAAGTATCTGTAGGTGGGACATTCCCAGAAGGGCAAAAAACTAAACCCAAAGACAAGAAAAACATATGTTATCCAGCTACTATTCTCGCCTTGTCCTCAGTGGTACAGAAAGAAAGAAAAACTCCAGACAAGGTCATGTGAACATCTTAACATTAACCAAAGCTAGTGAAAACCTTCACAATGATGGTATATGGAAAATCCACTATTCTGTGCAAAAGTGAGACACAGTAAGCAACATCAGTAAGTCACCTCATGGCACACTTTTCCCAAGTTTAAGAATTTTCTTGGGTCTAAAGCTTTAAAAGCTTTAAAAAAAAAAAAAGTCTTATTTTTACATTGTTTTAAGAGACCTAAGTTCATATTCCTACAGCTCATATTTCGAGCTTTTTAAAGGGGTCTCTGAATTGTTATAATGGTCTATATGAAGATAGCTGTATTTTCAAATTTTAAATAATGGCTAAGTGAAGTAAACCATTCATCATGGACTTTTTATATTGTGTGTGTGTGTGTGTGTGTGTGTGTGTATGTGTGTAAGCTCATTTATTATAATACTGTAGAAGCCTAACTCAACAATTCTCATCCACCAGCTTGGACCCGTTTATTCCCCGGTAGGTCACTCTGCTGGGCCTCACAAGGACCCCGTGGCTGGGCTTGCAGGTGAAGTAGCGTTTGTCTCCCACTGCCCCGTCATTCTTTCCTTTGGGGCTTCGAAGCTCCAGGCCCAGCCAGATCCCTGAGGCGAAGTCAGTGGGGCCCACGTACCTCACGGTGGCCATCTCATTGGAGCTGGTGAGGAGGACCTGGGAGCCCTCATGCAGCTTCACGCTACCCTCCAGGCCGCCGGCCGTCATGCTGCTGCTCCAGCTGCGGTGCAGGGTGGGCTTCGACCTGTGCACAGGGGACCAAGGGAAACGCTTTAGCACAAAGCCGCAGGACACCGTGCGCCATGCTCACTTCCACGGCAAGGTTCACAAGTCATTCACAAAACAGCACACTCGGCATTCACAACTTGATCTTTTCTATTCTACATAGCAACATTAGGATATACTTTTGCTTAAAGTTTTTCTCTTCGGGCTATTTTAATGCTACCCTCATCTGGATTTAAGATTTCACTATACCTATTTAATGAAGCAAAAAGAATGAAACCTGGTATTTGGCCGTGGTAAATTAAAATTACCTTTTGTTCACCTTTCAAATATTTCTTTACATGAAAACCATTTTTAAAAACTTAATCCACAATTTTGGAAACTATACACACACACACACACACACACACACACGCACCCCTTCTATGAAGGAACTCCAGTTACATTTAAGGGTTCGCCACTCCCCCTTGTCACTAACATCAGGAAGGATCTTAGTTGCCTAGAACAGGATTCCTCTCCTTTTCTCTACAACAAAACATTATTTACAAGGTACTGCCTCCAAGCACCCACCACCCACATGACCTGATGACACAACTACTGAGCACCCACACACGCAGCCCAGGCAAGGCCTTGTGCCAGCACTGCCCGGAGCTTCTTCCACTGTCCCTGCAAGTAGCTAATCCTGAAACCTGCCCTAAATAGAAATATGACCAGGATCTTGTTGCTCTATAACCTGAGACCTCCCACAAGAGTCATCCAGAATGCACCACCATGAAGCCATCCACCCACCATCCACACCATCTCTCCACCAAGAGAAACCCTTATCCTGGCCACACAGTAGAGATTATAAAGAACCTGTTACCAAAACTGCACAAGCCTGATTGTGAGCAGAATCTGGGTCCTGCTTGTTTTCCATTTTATTTCACTCTCTGTATTTTTAAATACATTATCACATATCGTGTCTCATTTATACATACTTCTACCTATTAACGCTGGAGAAAGGCTAATTTTCTGGGTAGGAAAACTGAGGTAAAAAGCCTGTCCTATGCCACATCTGATAAATCCAAGTTTTAAAATGCAATGGGAAAAAAAGATTATTTACCACATTGAATTTCCAAATATAATGATAAAGTTAACAAAAGAATACATAATACGTGTGTGTGTGTATGTGTGTTTGTGTGTGTATATATATATATATATATATATATATATACACACATCCTCCCCAAAGTGATATTTTTTGGCAACCTGATGAAATTACTCTGAATTTCACATGACAGTATCTACCACTTCCTAAGCACTTAATATGTGCCAAACACATACATTATCTCATCCAACCTCACCCAAACCAGTGAGGAATTAAAAGAGTTAAACTATTTGCATAAGGTCAGAGAGGTGGCAAAGAGGAGTGCTGGTATTCAGATCCAAGCTATCCAAGGACAAAGGCCAGGCTCTTGCTCACAATCGCAATGAGTATTAATAATTGAGAAAGTGTTGAAAGATAATAATATGGCAAAATTTGTTTTAAATTGATTATATTTCCTCAATAAGAGTATGCTTTAAAAAAAAAAAACAGGTACTAGTGTCAATCTGTAGAAGGATGAGTAAAGCTTCCTTTATTTTTATTTTCAAGGAAAACCAACAAAAGTGTTGATATTTTCTTCTCATGTCAATACATCATCTTGTACATATCCATACCTGCTGTATCATCCCCACGGTTCAGATTCCTCTCTCCTTCCCTGGTTTCTCTGTATCATGCTCTTCCACTCACCAACATCTTGATACTGATTTTGATACCTTTCCCCCTTCAAAATCCTTTATATCCTGGTTGTCTCTTCTTAGTAATTTCTTCCATTCTGCCTAAGAACTCTTGAATATCTTCAACAAACTGGAGCATAAAGTTATTGCCCTTAAATTCTTTCAGCTAGTCAAGTGAGGAGACCAATTTCAAAATCTCACAATTGATAAAGGTTTTGAGGAAGGTGGAGAAACAAAACCAAACCCACCCAACTCTGCTAAATAGTACCTGATAGTGCCTCAGCCCCCGTCAGGGTTCTCACGTGAAATCTCAGATCTTTGTGAGGCTTCCCAGCAACTACAGACCAGCTGATTACATTAACTAGCTGACTTATGCTCATCTGTTTGTTAAGTTCTAATGCATGGGCTGTAATTCCAGGTGGCTTTGAGGACCCCATGACTAATGCATGTCCCTAACTCAGCTAGATGTTTTCCCCTCAGGGCACGGTTCATAGATTAACTGGAAGAATTTAAAATTGAAAAAAATAAAAAACTTCTTAACCCAATCAGTCTAGAAGAGCCTCATATTCCTCAAAAAAAAATTTTTGAAGTTTCTGAAAGTTTCAAATAACTATTAGGGGGAATAAAGTGGGTCTGCAGGAAATAAATACAAATGAGAAAGAGAAAAAGGAGATTCTATCTACAAAGAAACAACAATAAAAAAGCCTTCTGAGCAGTATATTCTACAAGAAGAAGCAGGAATATTTTTTAAAATAATAGTAAAATTACCTTATGCAAATAGGCCTGACATTTCTTTTATGGACTCCCAAAAATAGTAAGTCAATTCTCTAATTAAGTAAACAGAGTATAAAATCAATCTACCCTGTTCAATATAACACAAAATGTAAATTCCTCCAACTTTTATTAATAGTACTAAGTCTCTTTGAAGATATATTCAGGATACTACCTTTAGTCATTGGTCACATTTTTAATTGAGCTTGCAAAGGAGGGACAAAGAACTCTTCTCACTGACACACTCATCACACCTCTTCTCCTAGGTGTTAAAATTCTACCATGCAATGTAAAAGATACAAAATTCTACTTTTCTTCCTTCACAGAATCCTGTCATGTTCATCTTGAAAGATGTTTTTCTAAATCTTCTTAATACTTACTTGGCAAAAGCATTTCTTCTGTTAATCTCTTTTTGGGAAGAAGCAGAAGTTGTACTGAAACTTCTCCTAAAACCTAAATATGAAAGTCAAGGTCAGAAGAGGAAAAATAAATCACAAATTCACAGTTCTCGTTAAAAGTTATCTTTTATCATTTCTTCTACAGACTTCTATTTTACTAAATGGTTCTCTGAAAACAGACGGAAAAGAAAATAAGTGCATGTAGAGTGTAACACAAGTATAGATTTCTTGACAACTGCTGTTTTACCTTTCTCATCAAACCATGCACTACATGAATAAGTCAAGATCATGACATTACTTTTGGAAGTTTTTGTTGTAAACTTTGAATACCAAACAAAATCAGACTATACACTGAGAGAGTTGAATCTTTTTACTCTCAAATATTATAATCTTGATAAATCACATTAAAAAATAGGATAAAAATGGTTTAAAAACACTATTACTAAATATATTGTGAACAATAAATTTCAGAGCTTCTGGTTTTTGGCATCCCCAAATGACAGAGTTCTTTAAAAAAAGAAGAAGAAGAAGAAGACTTCACAGAAGGTAAATTTTTTAAAACATGTGTTTAAAAAAGAACGGGATTTCCAGTTCTGGCAGTTACAGCACACCAGATGTGCTGAATGAACCTCTTGAATGAAACAAGTATAATTTAAAACAACAATAATCTTAAAAAAAAAAAAATACTGTTGAGCTCATACAAGTGGCACAATTCTAAAAAGGCCAAAAACCAAAAAGAAACCATGAGGAGTTTCCCCCAAACAACCCACCACCCTGTACCCCAGGACTAGACTGCCCTCTGGAGAACCTAGGGCCTGCCAAGATGGGGTTCTGACAAAAGTGAGGGTCTTGAGCAGCTCACCCTCAGTGTAAAGTTAAACGAGAAACAAAATGAAGCACCACTCAGATGAACACAAAGGAAAGCAGCCTGTGTCAACCCTACCGTGCAGAAGGCAAGTTCATTTTATCTGTGTAATATAAAGGCAACAACACTGCAGAGAATGTAAACTGAAGTTGGCAGTGCCTTGTAGGCAACTGGAAGCAGTAAATACAGGAGGACCTCAGAGCTACTGCAGGCTCGGTTCCAGACCACCACAATAAAGCAAGTAACAAAGTGAGTCACAGACTTTTCGGTTTCCCAGCACATATAAAAGTTTACACTACACTGTAGTCTATTAAGTGTGTCATAGCATGACATCTTAAAAAAAATGCATGTACCTTAATTTAAAAATACCTTATTGCTAAATACTGCTTTCCATCAGCTGAGCTTTCAGTGAGTCACAATCTTTTTGCTGGTGGAAGGTCTTGCCTCAATGTTGATGCCTGTTGACTGATCAAGGTGAAGGTTGCTAAAAATTGGGGTGGCTGCAGCAATTTCTTAAAATAAGGCAATAATGAAGCTTGCCACATTGATTGACTCTTTCACAAATGATTTCTCTGTGCAGCATACCTGTTTGATAGCATTTTACCCACAGCAGAACTTCTTTAAAATTGAAGTCAATCCACTCAAACCCTGCTGCTGCTGTATCAACTGAGTTTATGTACTGTTTGAAATCCTTTAGCGTCATTTCAACAATCTTCACAGTATCTTCACCAGAAGTAGATTCCCCCTCACAAGCCACTTTCTCTGTTCATCCATAAGAAGCAATATCTCATCTGTTCAAATTTTATTATGAGACTGCAGCAATTCAGTCACACCTTCAGGCTCCATTTCTAGCTCTCCTGCTATTTCTACCACATCTCCAGTTACTCCCTCCACTGAAGTTGTGAACCCCTCAAAGTCATTCATAAGGGCTGCAATCAACTTCTGCCAAATTTCCATTAATGTTGATATGTGAACCTCCTCCCATGAATCATGAATATTTTTAATGACACCTAAAGTGGTGAATCCTTTCCAGAAAGTTTTCAATGAACTTTGCCCAGATCTAAGAGAAGAATCACTATCTCTGGTAGCCACAGCTTTATGAAAAGTATTTATTACATACTAAGAGTTGGAAGTCTCAAAATGACTCCTTGACTCACAGGCTACAGAATGGATGTTGTGTCAGCAGGCATGAGAACATTAATTTTATTGTACATGTCCATCAAAGCTCTTGGGTGACCAAGTGCATTGTCAATGAGCAGTAATATTTTGAAAGGAATCTTTTCTTCTGAGCAGTAGGCCTCAACAGTGAGCTTAAAATATTCAGTACGCCATGTTATAAATAGATGTGCTGTCCTCCAGGCTTTATTGTGCCATTTATAGAGCACAGGCAGAGTAGATCTAACATAATTCTTAAGGGCCCTAGGATTTTCAGAATGGTAAATGAACACTGACTTCAACAAAGTTACCCACTGCATTAGCTACTAACAGGAAAGTCAGCCTAGACTTCCCTGATGGGCCAGTGGCTAAGACTTTGAGCCTCCAATGCAGGGGGTGCTGGTCTGATGCCTGGTCAGGGAACATGATCCCACATGCCACAACTAAGAGTTTTCATACCACAACTAAAGAGCCCACATGCCACAATTAAGACCTGATGCAGCCAAATCAATCTTTTTTTTTTAAAAAAAAAAAAGGCTACCCCTTCATTGAAGCCTCACATTGACTTCTCTCTAGCTGTGAAAGTTCTAGATGACATCTTCTCCAATTCAAGACTGTATCATCTACATTCAGGGATTCCCAGGTGGCTCAGTGGTAAGGAATCCACCCGCCAATGCAGGAGACATGGGTTCAATCCCTGGGTTGGAAAGGTCCCCTGGAGGAGGAAATGGCAATCCACTCCAGTATTCTTCCCTGGAAAAATCCCATGGACAGAGGAGCCTGGTGGGCTACAGCCCATGGGGTTGCAAAGAGTTGGACATGACTGAGCACACACACGTACCCATGTCTACATTGAAAACCCACTGTTTAGTGGAGCCACTTTCATTAATGAGCTAGCCAGATCTTCTGGATAACTTGCTTCAGCTTCTACATCAGCACTTGCTGCTTCACTTTATGCTTTGATCTTATGGAAATGGCTTCTTTCCTTAGACCTCATAAACAAACCTCTTCTGACTTCAAACCTTTTCTTCTGCAGCTTCCTCACCTCTCATGGCCTTCACAGAATTGAAGAGTTAGGGCCTTGCTCTGGATTAGGTTTTGGCTTCAGGGAATGTTGTGGCTGCTTTGATCTTCTCTCCAGACCATTAAACCTTTCTCTGCATCAGCAATAAGGTTGTTTCTTACCATCTGTGTGCTTACCGAAGTAGCACTTTCAGTTTCCTTCAAGAAGTTTTCCTCTGCAGTCACAACATGACTAACCGTTGGTACAAAAGGCCAGCTTTTGACCTATCTCTGCTTTTGATGTGCCTTCCCCACTAACTGAAATCATTTGCAACTTCTGAATTAAAGTGGGAGACATGAGACTTTTCCTTTCCCTTGAACACTCAGAGGCCATCGCAGGGTTCTTTATTGTCCTACTTTCAATACCGTTGGTTTTCAGGGGACAGGGAGGCCCAAGGAGGGGGAACAAATGGAGCAACAGCCAGTTGTGGAGCAAGTCAGAACATACACATTTATCAATTCAGTTCGGTTCGGTCGCTCAGTCGTATCTGACTCTTTGTGGCCCCATTGACTGCAGCACACCAGACTTCCCTGTCCATCACCAACTCCTGGAATTTACTCAAACTCATGTCCATTGAGTTGGTGATGCCATCCAACCACCTCATCCTCTGTCGTCCCCGTCTCCTCCCACCTTCAGTCTTCCCAGCATCAGGGTCTTTTCAAATGAATCAGTTCTTCGCATCAGGTAGCCAAAGTATTGGAGTTTCAGCTTCAGCATCCGTCCTTCCAATGAATATTCAGGACTGATTTCCTTTATGATGGACTGATTGGATCTCTTTGCTGTCCAAGGGACTCTCAAGAGTCTTCTCCAACACCACAGCTCAAAAACATCAGTTCTTTGGCACTCAGCTTTCTTTATAGTACAACTCTCACATCCATTCATGACTACTGGGAAAACCATAGCTTTGACTAAATGGACGTTTGTTGATTTTTTGATCAGCTTTGCCATTTTATATGAATGAGGTTCACCATGCCTCAAAAAAATTACAACAGTAACATCAAAGATTACTGATTGCAGATTCACCACAACAAATATCATAATAACGAAAAAGTCTGGGGCTTCCCTGGTGGCTCGGTGGTAAGGAATCAGCCTGCCAATGCAGAAAACATGGGTTTAGTCCCTGGTCTGGGAAGTTGCCACATGTTATGGAGCAACTAGGCCCATGTACCACAACTACTGAGCCTGTGCTCTAGAGCCTGGGAGCTATGTGCTGCAACTACTGAAGCCCACGCACCCTAGAGCCTGAGCTCCGCAACAGGAGCAGCCACCACAATGGGAAGCCCCCATCTGCCACAACTAGAGACATGCCTGTGTAGCAGCAAAGACCAGCACAGCCAAAACTAAAACTTAAAAAAATTAATGTTAAAAAAAAGAGTTTAAAATTTCAAATTTAACCCGTCTCTGGGTTAAAATGCAACCCAGAGACATAAAGTAAGCAAAATGCTATCGGAAAAATGATGCTGAGAGACTTGCTCAAGGCAGGTTACCACAAACCTTCTATTTGTAAAAAAAAAAGAAAAAAAAAAAATATATATATATATAAAATATCTGAGAAGCACAAAAAAAGCAAAGCACAATAAAACAAGATATGCCTGTATAATCTTCTTGAGAGGCATCAACCCAGGCTTCAGAGAATTTCCATATATTAAATTCTAAGTAGGTAAAATAAGTATTTCACAATAAATTACAAAACTCACAAGGAAAGAAAAAGTACCACAAGTTAGGCTCAACAGAAATAGATGGAAGAATCAGACTCACAAAGATTTCAGATATTGAAGTATTAAACATAAAAGGTAACAATATTTAAAATGCTTAATAACATAAAAGAAAAAAATCTTGAAAATATAGGAAAAGAATAAGTGACAATAAGTAATAACCACACAGACTTACAAAAAGAAAACAAATGAAAAATTTATAATTAAAAACCTTTGTGGCTGAATTAGGCAGTAGTATAAATATAGCAGAAGAAAGA